AATATCCATCCATAAAAACGTGTTTGAAAATGAATTTTTCTAAAGAAGTGGTGAATATGGTGTTTTGGGCGAAGCCCAAAGAAATAGTTTCTTAGCATCTCGCATTTATAAGCAACGGTACCCTAATATGTGACATCCAAGGCCGGAAACATTTTCCACACTACGAGAACGTTTTGAATCAAGTGGAGCAGTGGAATATAGTAAGAAATGTATAAATAATCCAAGTGTCACCAATGAGGCGAATCAGTTGGAGGTTCTATTAAAGTTGCAGGAAAATCCCCATTTAAGTGCACGGCAAATTGGAGCAGAAACTGATATATGCAGAACTTCTGACAAATCTGTACTCTTAGTGGCAATATGGAACTAACCCACTGTTTGTGTTTTATTTCCACGGATGATGTGATTTTTTCCTTAATTTGTTCTACTAATAACTCAAAATCTAGTGATTTTATCTGAATGAAACCTTATACCAAAAAAAAGCTCAAAAAATTGAGTCCAAACTTGTACAAATATACAGGGTGATGCATTTGAAATTTTTGAGAAAAAGGACAATTCGCGATTTGACCACCCGAGCAAAAATGAAAATTCGAAAAAGTAAGAAATAAGATAAAAGCTGAGGTGTGTAAATTTTTTCTTGATACAAAATTCAGCTCTCCAAATTTCAAGATGGCGGATTGAGGGGTTGCCGAAGTGGACGGTTTTTCTGGACAAAACACCTTACATCTCAGTAGCTAATTACCAAAACCCCATAGTATGTTATATCAATCTTCTTCTTTTGAATTGGTTTATCCAAATATACAATAAAATTTGAGGCATTCCATTTAAAAAATCACAACTTTTATATGTCAAAATTGGGACACCCTGTATAATTGCCAATATTTTAGAAATGTGCCCTCAAATGTCATGTATAACATGCCATAAATAAATTTTCCCAATATGTATTTGTTTATGAGAAATATTCCGTCCACACATGAATGGGCCGCCCTGTATATATATATATATATATGTATGGTCAAAAATCAGTAGTTTTCGAGGATTTTCAATTTGTGATTTTTGTAACGATTTGCCGAAACTGAGTATTAAAAAACTAGTGTAAGAAACACGTGAGAATTTGATTGATATTCGTAGTTTATACTTAAATTAAGCTAATATAAATATAAAAGATGCAAAAATACCACACAGAATAAAATAACACCTATTCCGAAAAATGAACGTTTTTGTTTTCAGCTTCCCTTAAACATAACTGTGTCTAGCTCTGAACAGCACATTGAGCGTACAAATTGCTAGAAAAACACGCCCGCCTCTGCTTCTGTCACATTTGTGGCTTTGTGGTAAAAAAAATCGGATAACTGCCCGTCCCATATGTTTACTATATTGAGCTGCTTAGTAGCTACAGACGCAGGGAATTGAGCATTGCTCAATCACTGAAATACGATGATAGCGTGAGTTATGGGTTTGTAGAGACGCTAGTGAAGGTACAACGAAATTATTCACATCGTTTTCCTAATAGCCGATTTTTCTACGTTAGTAAGGAGCTAGATGTCGGAAACACGTAACACGTGAATTGATCACGCTTCAGGAAACGCATTATTATACTACAGCAGTTCCTCAAGCGCATAGTGGATAAGAAAAAAACTGAAGGTCCCTTTTACCATGAAGGCAACAAAAGTAGGACCTACAGCCCGGTAATGGAACAAGAAATGTTCACAAAACCTTGCAAATATTTAATAATCCATGACAATTAGGTTTTGGATAACTGAAGTAGTCTTTTTTAGAATAAAGAAAAGTTCCGAATCCTGCTATAGGCACGAACTGAATTTTTTAAGAGCTTTTTTGATTTTTTGTTACGGTCCTGTGGATATTAAGACCATTTTGTCAGACTGATGAATAAGCTACAAAAGTTGTTTATATGATATTTTCATACCTACATTCGCATATGAAATAGTCAAATTTCTCAAAGCTGTGCTTAGTCCATAACATAAATACGCATAGTAGAGTACAAAGGGGTGTTGTGCTTGTTATGGAAAGTTGGCCGTTTGGTATACACTGAAAACCAAATACCACTAACTTCATAATGGGTACGAGAAAAGCGTGCAATACGTGTGTTATAAAAATATAGCTCATCGTTGCCTAGCAACCCGAGTACGAGGTCACGGATGCCATCGACGCACTCTTTCTAACATACATATTGCATGCTTCTCTATCGTACACTTTACGACGTAAAAAATTTAAGCCTCACCGTATACAAGTTTTGTTAAGGTAATTTAAAATCGATTCCGCTCTTCAGATCTTATCTCAGAGGTTGGGGGCGAGGTTGCGTTGGAATAACATTATTTTCAAGGATATCTCATTTCAGGACAATTTTTAATCGCTAAACCCTATGCATATGTTATTTACGCCGTAAAATAAAAATGGTATCCAGATCATCAAATTCTTGCGTTACCATTGGCCAGCAGCTGGACACGCAACTATGTCAATACGAGCGGGGCAGGTACTTCGCTAGTCTCTTATATTTTGGCGCAGCATACTCGTATATTCCATTTCACCATAGTATATATAATATCTTTAAAATATTAGCAGCACTACCACTTACTGACTACAAAAATTGCAAAAAAAGAGAAAAATAATTGCTGTCAGAAATTGAACCCGGTGCCTTCGATGTTCTACCACTGTTCCAAAATAAAAGGACAGTTGCTAGCTTTCAAAACCAGTAATGATATGAAAACGAATCGACCGTCCAAATAAAGGACTGCGCAAGACCTTTCAAACAAGCTATTACTCGATACCGCTTGTCATTTAAACACAGTTATTATAATTTATTTCAGAATTTCGTGGGAAGTACATGATCAATCTACTTTGAAAGCGAGATCAATAATATGCTATGTTTTGAGACTTGAATAAAGGAGACCCATTCTTCAACTTCAAACTTCTAAAGTTTATTGGCTTCCTCGGAAACCAGACGTATCTGGTGCGGGTGAACTAGTTTTAAATTGCATCTTCTATCCTGTTGAGAATGCCGCCTGTAACATGAAGTTTTACATAAATTTACAGTTTGGACCTTTCTACATTTATTGTTAACAGAAGACACCTTTGAACACCCATTTTGTCAACACTTGTCAATTTGTCCGCATTACCTCACGCTTTGAAAAGGAAATTGTCAATGTCAGTCGGTAGATAATAATAGAAACTACCAAAATATAGAACATTTTTCATTTGTGAATATTGTTGATAAAATATATACATACATACATACGTAAGAAATTATATTCTAAAAATTAATATTACAAATTTATTTGTTAAGAACATAATAAAAACAAACTGGATTCAACAAATCCATTTGGTATAATACAGGTCAACGAAATAGATGAAAAATAAAATTTTAAAGGCACATTTGTATATATCACACGTTCGAACCACTCGACCACCTTTCTTGATGTATTTTTATTGCCATATTATCGATAATTTCAACTGCTGGTGTAATATCGAGGTCCTCTAGAAAGAGTCTGATAACATATGGCTTCTCACCATTTGTCTGCAAAAAGCGATTGAATAATTACCAATACAGTAAAATGAGATGATAAAATTAGCATATCACTTTGATCGATTAGGGACGCACCGAGTACTGCTTTTTTCAAAATGCCGAGTACCGAGTACTTGGTGAGATTCGAATACCAAGTACCGGGTACTCGACCAGGCTTGTTCTGGGTTATTTCAGCTACTGTTAGAGAGATATTTAGATTATATTTGGGTTTTCAAAAGGTCCCTTTATTCTCATATTTGATTTACTTTTCCAAGAAGTTAATGCACCACGAAAAAATGGATGCGCAGCTTAGACAACTTTTGTGAGTAAACTATTACAGGTTATACAGGGCCCGACCAAATGATCTCCCACATTTTGCATCGCCACGGTGCCCGAATCGCTCAAGAGAGGGGAATCTTAGCGTAGCAAGTTGATAGCTCGGGTCTTGCCATTTCAATTTTCGTCATGAATTGTACGAGCGAGCATCGTGCCTTCGTTATTACCACTCAAAGAACTTTTAGTACTCATTTCGCACTTGGTAGACATGCTCCAGTTCCAGATCGCGAAACAATACTGTTGTGGGTTTCAAATTTTAGAGCTACAGGTTGAGCCTTAAAAAGAAAATCAACTGGTAGACCCAGAAGTGTGCGAACACCTGAAAATACTGCAGCTATAAGAGGAGCAGTTGAACGATCTCCTAGCCGTTCAGCAGTATGCCTCTACTTTGCGTATGTCAGATCGTTCTATGAGAAGAATTTTACACGCTGATCTGAAGTTCCACCCATACAAAATGATGATCGTGCAAGAACTTAGCGAATGGGACTGGGAAAATCGCAGAGCATGTTGCAACGATATTCTTCAAAACATCTCAAGAAATGCGCTTTTCATAAGGAGTGACGAAGCTCATTACCATTTGTGTGGGTGTGTGAACAAGCTGAATTTTCGTTACTTTTACTGTTAGCGTTTGGTGTAATGTTGGGTCTTTTGGCGTTTGGAGTTAATGTTTTTTTTTTGAGGAGGGAGGCGTCACGGTCAGCGTAACTGCCGAACGATATCTCGACAAGGTTGGAGCTACGGCTCATACGACAAGAAGGACAATGGACATTTTAAGGGAAATGTTTCCAGGACGCGTAATGTCGTAACGTGGAGACGTTGGGTGGCCTACGCGTTCACACAATCCTGCTCCATGCGAATTTTTCCTTCGGGGCTACCTGAAACCGAAGGTTTTTCAACACCATCCCCGAATCATTATTGAAATGAAAGGAGCGATATACCAAGAAATTACAAGAATATCGGCTCAAATTAGTGCTGATATGCTGGAAACTTTCATTAATCAGCATCGAATGTGTATCAAAAACAATGGTCGCCACTGGATCCTGTAATTTTCAAAACAATAAAAATAAATGGCATAGCATACATTTTCAGTTAATAAAAATAAAATCTAAGTGGTATTTAAAATGATTTCATTAAAGCTTAAAATGTGGGAGATCATTTTGCCGGACCTTGTAGTATGTAGTATATTGGTATTTTCAGATTTTTTTTTAAATATCTGGAAGTCCTACAACAAACTCGTTTATTCCTGAATGACAGTTTTTGCCTCCTGAAAAATTCAAACTGTGTGACTCATAGGTTTTTGAAACGACTGATTCATTTCTGGATACAGTGAATGCAAACTATGAAAATAGTATATTCATTGTAATGAGAACGCTTTACGATATATTTTGGACGAAGTAGTTGCTTTCAAAAAAGATCCACTGTAGAATCCACCTTAGATATACAAAAATTCATAAGTCTCTACATTTAGCATTCTTGACATTGATCCGACATGAGCAAAAAAGATAATTTTATATTTAAATGACAATATTATTAAAAGTTTCGTTATTTTTATAGCAGCTTATCTCGCCGCCTAAAATGCTACTTCACCCCTTGATACCACACTCAAGTACATAAAGCCTTATCTTGTCACTAAGATTATCACATGCAGTGTGCAGATAATGATATACTTACATTAACGGCATATCTCAGAATGCATTTACTGATATTATCTCGTCCGGTGTTAAATCTAAAATTATCGACAACATGTGTAATGTCTAATAGCTCGGCGAGGTCACGTACTCGACCACTTTGTTCTAGAATGTCTGAAACTAGATCCAGGCATTCTGGTGTGAAATCATCAATGTTTTCGTATATATCTGGTAGCTGTTCTTTGGGAAATTCTGGTTTTACCTCCACTATTTCTTCCTGAAAATGTAAGGTTAATGACAATGGAGTTACAGAAGACGTAAGTCCTTCCCCAACCACATGTTTTCAACTAAAGTAACCATATTCATTGTTGTTTGAAGGGGAAGGAAAATACAATACCATTTTGAATGGGCACAAAAAATTTATAAAAGTACATCTGCTGCAAAAAATTAAGCCAAACGATCAGTACAACTTTTCAGATAGTAATCCTGCTCGGCAAATGTGGTAGGTATAATAAACGAGAACCGAGCTAAAAATTACGTTTTCACACAACGATTTCAAAATTCCCACGTCTACTATCTAAGTCTTCACAATCCTACACCACTGGAAAGATTTCCGCTAATGCACAAAAAGAGAAGAAAAGTAGTTAGCAAGTGGCCACCAGACGTAATTAGCAAAAAACTGACCGCTAACCGTATAAAATCGCCACACATGTTTGAAAGCCTTTTTCACAAGTGCACTCGACAAAGGGAAATGTTGATTCAAATATATATTTGAAATATAAAAGATTCAGTCCACTTAAATCACTTAATCTGCATATCAGTTCAAAGACTATTTTTCAAACATTGCCTCAAACCTCAGAGATACCATCCCTCATATTGCCTCTCATACAACAACACCAAACAAAAAACAAAACCCAAATTTAATTTTGGTAAAGTGAGTTTCAATCAGGTGCGTGATATAATATGTGACATAATAAAAAGAGCCGCGACATATATGGTTTGAGCCCAAGACTACTCAAGTTAATAAAAACTATTATCTTGGCGACACTTACCCATCTACAAAAAGGCGACAACTAATTACCAGAAAACTACAGGCTATACCCTATTCGTAGTCTATTTACGCTCCGGCACAACGAAGATGCAGCGCGGCAAAGCGGCAGCCGTTGCAGTAGCTATTGGTCATTGAGCCATAAAACTACGGACAAGTGCATAATTCGACATGATAGAACTCAGGCTCGGGATATCGCCGGCACGCCGACGCCGGCAGTTGCTGTTCATATTCGATACATACATAGCGTGTTGTTTATACGTTAGCATATCGTCTACGGATACAGCAGATAAAACTGAGGCTACACTAAACTTAGCTATATCTGGTAGATTTGGAACCAACACCTGATAGTCTGCTTGTATTATTTTAGTTTTCTTGAATACTATATGAAATAGTTATGTCCAGGAAAAGGAAAACGATTTGTTATCTGTTACATTGGCAGTGAAGATGGCTTTGTGCCCAATGTCCTATGGGCATCTGAGTAAAAAAAACGACCGACTACCAAGAAGAAGTGGACGGGACTTCATTTGAACGATGGTTTGAAGAAACGCTCCCAAAGCTTGACGACAATGCCGTCATTGTACTTGATATTGCTGCATACCACACTAGAAAACTAGAAAAAATTCCCACAATGTCCACAAAAAAGGCGGAAATTCAAGAATGGCTCCTATCAAAAGATATTAGTTTCAATGAAAATAATGTCAGAGCAGAACTTATCCGTCTAGTCAGGCAGCGCAAATATAAATATAATCTTAATGTTATTGACGAAATGGCTAAAAACCCAAATGAGACCTTATCACTGCGAATTAAATCCCATTGAAATGATTTGGGCAAATATAAAAAACTGGTTTCAAACAATAAAAAATGTTCTGACGTGAAAAATTTGTTTTATGAAGCTGCCAACAGAATGACGTCAAACCATTGGAAAGATTGCATCCGTCACGTACAACAGACAATCGAAACAAAGACGTGGGATCTGGACAATCTGATTGATATTCAAATTGAACCTGCAATAATTAATATTAAGCATTCGGGCGATGATTCAAGTACTTTCAGGGAATGAAGTATTTTGGAAAGTATATGCACTTCTTTCTATAAAAATATTCATTTATTTTGTTAGGTTATTCCATGACCATTGAGGAAAATACGGACCTATACAATCTCGCTTTTGGGCATATTGTGTTTTGTCTGGGCGTAAATGGACTACGAATGAGGTATAATTTCTCTTTTTTCAGCGACTTCCAGTATGGCTTCGGCAAATACAGGAACGGCACAATGGGAATACTGAACCTAGTCTCTGACATATTAAATGGTTTCCACAATCACGAATACAATACAGTCCTATTCTGTGATCTGACAAAAGTGTTCAACTCTATTGACCATTCTATACTACTTAGTAAACTGGAAGCATGCAGTATCAGTATGAGTACACCATCCATGTCCTAAAATCGTTTTTCCAGGATATGATGTCCCGCAAGTGTCATTGCTAGGTCCCATTCTCTTCCTGATATATATAAATGACCTTCCATTTATCGACACAAATTATAGATACACGCTATTTATTCATGATACAACAGTTTCTCCTACTGCAGATACTTTGAAGAAATGATACAGCAATATACATGTTATGCACCGAACGGCTGAGGAGTGATTTAATGCTAATGAGCTGCTGATGAATAAAGAAAAAAAATAGTGGAGATGACTTTATCAACTAGAGTGTGAGCAGTTTATTTTGAGGTAATCCATTCCACCTGACTTATGCTATGTTGATGTGGGGACATGCTCGGCCAGCAAGACGTCTGTTTGGACTCCAGAGAAAAGCCATTGCAGTCATTTCTGGGATGGCTTTCAGAGACGATGCAGGAAAGCTTGCATAGATATCCTGGAGAAAGTACTATATGTTGAACTCAACCTGTCTGAGTTTGAAACGCATCAGCAAATTCATTCATATGATACCAGGAATAAGGACATGCTCAATCCCAAGTATCTTAGGCTGAGAAGGTGTCAAGATGGATCATGTTATTGGAGTGTACAATTATATAATACCTTACGAGTGGTGAAAGCTGTTCCCTATGAAACGTTTAAAAATCTTATTGAGGACCTATTTATAAAAAATCCAATATACAATGTGGAACCATTTTGAATTCCAATATGTGTTTGTGATGTAGTCTATATTTGCATAAACTTATACACTGAAACCGAAATTTGTCTGACAGCTTGAGTTCAATGTGTACGAGAGAGAAGTGTGTTAAGACACACATGTTAGAAAGATGTAGAAGCCGGCTGGATAGCGAAGCTCATCACCGCGTTGCTTAGCTACGCCGACGCGGCAATCTGTCGCGTTGCCAATATGTTACACCAGTTCTATGAATTAAGATGCATGTTGTAGTTTATTCTCTACGTCCAAATAATGGTTTTATATTGAGCGTACACATTGAAAACAAAATATTAAATTCAATGTCCGAACAGACCTCCTTCTTGGGTTTGACAGTAACCTAGCCTATTGTAGAAGCGAACATTTTTTGGTGTAACATATCGGCAACGCGGCAGATTGCAACACTTTCCGCGTCACCGTTACTAAGCAATGTGGTGCCCAACTAGCAAAGTAGTGCTATGAGCTTTTGGTAAAAAAACCGTTCAGCCATAAAAGCTCTCTACTGTTGTTGCCTGAACACCAAAATGCTGTGTGGAATGCAAATTTGCTTTCTGCAACATATTTGCTCTAAAATGAGGTGTTTAAAATATTCTTATAGCATAGTTACACAACACCTTATAGGACAAATTTTTTACTGTTGCATAAACGTTTATACAACTATTTTATACGGCACATTTGCAGGTTAGTCAAAATGGTTGTGTTGTGGCATCCATGGTAACGTTTATAAAACAAACCCGAGCCTTGTTGTTTTGCTGTGCAAATTTACTACTTTAATCAACAAATTGCTCCCAACGGAAGCACTTATACAACTGTTGTTTAGTAACTGTTAAAGGCTGTACATATGCTAAATATGTTGGTATACAACTTCTCCATAACCTAACTTTCTGCTGTCATATTTTAGTTAAATTGCCATAACCAATGTTTTAAGACAAATAACGCATGGATATTGGTTAAAAAGGTTTTAACAACTGTTCAAACATAAGATATAGATCTGGTACAAACTCTAGGTAAATCATTCGACTCTGTCGGTATTTCATTTCTGACATTTGTCAAATTGTTGTATAACACCTGCAGACAACACCAAAATATTCTAATAAACTAAAGACAACATGGACGATGCCATGATTATACACAACCACCCGGAATATTGGGCAAACATTTATTCCTCTATTTGATATTAAATAATTATGTTTCAGTTCGAAATTACAGATATAAAGTGATAAACATTAGTGTAATTGTGTCTAAATATAGGATTTGTGGAAGATTTAACGCAGATAATTTCAGTTTTCCATCTTAAAAATCTAGACATACTTTTGATCATTATCAAAATATGAATCAAATACGAAGCCCGTAGAAATTGCATAACTACTTTGCACGATAATCACAATAAAATTTTCTGCGCAAGTAACTCAATAGCCCTATATCATAGTGTAGAAGTTTATCATATACCTGCGTATGAAATTCACAATGGCCGATATGTAAGTAAACAAGATGACTGTATTGTGTTAGTTATATATTCTTTACTTCGTCTATACAATACATAAGAAATAACAGGTGGGCTGAAAAGTCCGTATCGTTTCTATGAGATGGCGCCACCAGAATAAAATCCATACGCTTCTTAGCTAGTACCAACCTTCAAAAGATGCCTGTCAAAATTTGACAGCTGTCGGATCATTAGTTTTTGAGTTATCGTATCGAGAGTGACGCTACTTTTGTTATTTTTGAAAACCATGGAAAGTCAAGAGTTTCGTGTGTTAATGAAACATTATTTTTTGATGAAAAAAAGTGCCGTCGAATGCAAGAAATGGCTTGATGAGTGTTATCCGGACTCTGCCCCGGGCGAAGCAACCATTCGCAAGTGGTTTGCTAAATTTCGTACCGGTCACATGTCAACTGAAGACGACGCACGCAGTGGACGCCCAAAAGAGGTCGTTACGGACGAAAACGTGAAAAAAATCCACAAAATAATTTTGGGAGACCGCAAAATACGGTTGATTGACATAGCTGAGGCCTTAAACATATCAAAAGAACGTGTCAGTCACATCATTCATGAATATTTGGATATGCGAAAGCTCTGTGCGAAATGGGTGCCGCGCAATCTCACATTTGACCAAAAGCAACAACGCATCGACGACTCTGAGGCCTGTTTGGAGGTGATTTTGCGCAATAAAACCGATTTTTTTCGCCGATACGTCACCATGGATGAAACATGGCTCCACCACTACACACCGGAGTCAAATCGCCAGTCGGCCGAGTGGACGGCTGCATCCGAACCACCTCCGAAACGTGGAAAGACGCAACAGTCAGCAGGCAAGGTTATGGCCTCTGTTTTCTGGGACGTGCAAGGAATTATTTTCATCGACTATCTTCAAAAGGGCCAAACTATCAACAGCGACTATTATATAGTGTTACTGGAGCGTTTGAAGGCCGAAATCGCCAAGAAACGGCCACAAATGAAGAAAAAAAAAATCTTGTTTCACCAGGACAATGCGCCGTGCCACAAGTCCATGAAAACGATGTCGAAATTGCATGAATTGGGCTTCGATTTGCTCCCCCATCCACCGTATTCTCCGGACCTTGCTCCAAGCGACTATTTCCTCTTCTCAGACCTTAAGAGAATGCTCACCGGAAAAAAATTTCACAGCAACGAAGAAATCATCGCCGAAACTGAAGCCTATTTTGAGGACAAGCCGAAGGAAGGGTATCGAAAAACTTGAAGAACGTTATAATCGCTGTATAGCCCTTGAAGGCAACTATGTTGAATAATAAAAGCGAATTTTGACGAAAAAAATATTTTTTCATTGAAACGATACGGAATTTTCAGCCCACCTGTTAGTTTGGTTGCAATAAAGTGAATCACGTAACAGAATAGTTGTACAGTTGACAAAAACTGAATCTTGCACTGACGCAAATGTCCTATAGCGGCTGCAAGAGGCCTACACTTTTGTTGTATAACTGTTACCTGCCGCCCTTAAACAACATATTAAATGACTGAAGTGTCCTATTAGGTGTGCCCATTCCGCTTGTATAGCTATTCTGAGAGGGTTTTGCCAAGGTTCTCCCTGTATATTCCTGACCTGTGTAAGTCATACGACAGAAACACCTATAAATTGATTTTGATTTTGAAGGAAGTAAAATTGTTACCTCTATATCGGAAAAATCCTCATCCTCTTCCTTATAATCTTCGCCTTCCTCCTTGATTTCAGTATGAAGAAAAGGAATCCCAATTTTCCTGATATAATCTTTCATGACTTCGGCAAGTTCGGCATTTTTCGTCATTGCGGCATCAATTGCTGTTTTGTTGCAAAAATCTTGAATTTCAGGATCTACCCCATTCAAATCTAGGAGGTACTGCACTATCTCAACATGTTGTTTTTCTACAGCAAATCTCAATGGCACAAAACCATTCTTGTCGTGCTTCTTATTTACGTCTGCGTGTTTGCATAAAAGCTTGATGGCTGGCAAATTTTCACTTAGGATAGCCATCACCAGAGCCGTATCACCCTCTGAAAGAAATAGAAGTGGCGTCAATTAGATCGACTCTAAACTTACCATGCAGTGGTATTAGTTTGAAAATAATAAGAATTTTTGTTTGGGCTCGGGACTATTGAATAATCCACGTTCAATGGAATAGCGAGCACACGAAAATGCCACAGTTTTCGTATATATACTTTAAACTTTTCTAACACGTCCACAACAGCAAGAGTAATTTTTGCTTATTAAAATCATGTACTCAATTACGTGTTATTTACTTTGTATTTATCACAATGTAGGGTTTATCCAACATCTGAACAAAATTTTGAATTTGCTTCGTGAAGCTAAATTTAAATACATATACAGGTTATGAAAGTTTCAAATATAGCAACCTCCCAGTCACATGCTGCTCGTTAATATTGATCGAAGTTCAATTCATTTTTTTATACCGGAGCAACCGTGCAGGGAGAATCCTAAATACCAGGGCACCGCGGCTGCTTTAGATATGACAATACCTCTTATTCCGGTTGATTCACGGGTCCTTTTTTGACAATGGCGAGCGGCATCTATCCTTTAATAGAACGGTAACTGTCATTCAGGGTGGCCAAATGCGTTGGGCCCTTCTGTATTTTGTAGGTAGCAGTTTTCACATCTTTGCTTACAACATACCAAGTTTTTCGGTAAACCATACCAGCTTATTTGCTTTCCGTTTTCACAAACATAGCTCAAAATCTTTTAGAAAACCTTTAACGAAGTAAGAGATTCGAATTGCTCATTGAAAAATTCTAAAAGTACTGGTATCTGTAACTTCAACAGTAAGATTGTGAAAACGCTATTAAATATTATAATTTATCTCCTCAGTATTCTGTTTAATCAATATAATTATAATAATGAACATGGATCCGCTGAAAAATATCGAATCATCGACCAATCTCAATCGCTGATTATTTCGCAAAAACTGTTGAAATTCTCCTTAAAAATCGATCAAGTCATTATCCGCAATCAAACAATTTTTAAATATTTGTCAATATGACGCTTCAGACACAGTTTGTCGACTATATCTGTAATAGATAACTTCATCAACATAGTTATTTAAGGTTTATAGAAAATAAACAATTTATAGTAGCTATTCTTTTTGTCGACAAAAGCCTCTGACTGTGAACATGATATTCTCCTATTTAAGCTACCGTTTTACTCCTTCCATCCAAGCAATATACTGCTCTTGGAATCCTACAAAACTAATAAATGTGGGATACAATGGCTGCAAATCCTCAATCAGCCCAGTTTTGCCTGGTATTCCACATGTTTCTGTGCTCGGACCTCTATTTTTTTATACCGAAGTAATCGTACAAGCAGAAGCGTAAATGCCGGGACACCGCGGCTGCTATGAGGATCCCAAAGAAATTTTGTTAATCCGATTTTTGAACTGCGTAAGGTTAGTAGAACTTGGAAAAGCTTTCTCTTGTAGTTTGTTCCACAATCTCGACACCCTCGGGATAAAGGAGCGGTCATATCGGCCAGTTCTGGATGTATTATTATTATTATATGTAAATGACTTGCCCAATTGTCTTTCCAACAACACTCACAACAAGCTAATTCTATACGCCGATGTCCCAACTCTTGTTTCGACTCACGATTTCATTTCCAACTGGGATAACGTGACTTCTAACTGTAAGTGCGACGTCTTTGAATGGTTTGCAATAAATAAGCTAACAGCACATTCAAACAAAACTCAATCCATTACCGTTACTCTATGAAATTATGATATAGGTAATAACCATGTGGAGACAGTGAAGTTTCTTGGTTTTACGTATATAAATACTACTTCAAATTGGGATGAACACATATTAGCAAATCATTAAAAAAATATTTCATTCGTAATCTTGAAAATTCTGTATCCCAAATCTTGCTATCCAGCTACCACGCACTTTTCATAGTAAAATGTCACACGCTATCTTAGCATGGGGTCATTCCCACACATGAATAAAGTTTTTGCTCTACAGCAGAGGGGTGTTAGATACATAGCAAACCTGAAGTACAGAGATCCCTGCAGAGAAGAATTCATGAAACTAATCATCATGACTGCATCGGGCTTACATTTATTACTGCCTCATTCAAGTCAAAAAAACTCTCACGCTTCTACAACCCACCAAAAAATCCATTCATACAATACTCGAAATAACTTAAACTAGTAAAAATCAAAGAAACACAGAAATGGACTTAACTTTCTTGGCTAGGAAACTTTATATGCCTTACGTCTTAGACACGAGCTCTATATATTGACCATTTTAGTAGGTTTAGTTTTATTTTATCAAAAGCTTTCTAAGACATCCATGAATTTATGTCTTACGATTTCTCGGTTTTATACGAGTACAATACTTACAATATTCTTATTTTTTATTCTACCCTTCTAGACACCATATTGCGGCTTTATTTGTTTTATGCTGTATTGTTTGTTATTATATCTTTGTGAATGCATCTTTGTATTTTATTCTGTCATGTGTAAGCACATTATGTGCATTATCGCCAATAAACTATTATTAATATTATTGCTATTCCTCTAGACAGCCTAAACTTCTAAAACTCACCTTTATCAGGCCTATCCACATAGTTTTTAACATGCTCATGTTCTCTGTTCTGAAGTAATGCTTCCAAGATTTCTAAAGGTGCATTGGTCTTCACAGCAAGATGTAAGGGAGTCTGACACTCCTCGTTAAGCACATACACGTTTGCGTTGTAACGCAATAGTAGTTTCACAATTAATGCATTTTGACAAAGTACCGCCAAGTGCAAATAAGTATGAGATGCGCTGTTCTTAATGTTCATTAAATCGTTTTTGTCATAATGATAAATCAGTTGAATTAGGGAGCACACCTCCTTGAACATATTCCGACAGATAAGAACGTGCAATGCGTTCGTAACGCCCTCCTTGCCGAATTTGTCATTTAGCATGGCTTCTTCGTCTTTTTTGTTATGCTTGACCTTACTGAGGCCTCGAATCTCACTTAAAACGGTCTCTGCCAACCTCTTTTCCTCCTCTGTAACCTAAAAGAAGAACAGTGGTTTATTAAAAACCAGTGGCAATATTTCTCAGGTAGAAGGTAGGTTCAAAAATAATATGGATAGTTTACATAAATGCAGGGTGTTCCCAAAGTTGGTAATTTTCACTGCGTACAGGTCTTGAAAAAATTTGGGGTTTTTCCTAGTAACATTTGCACCAGTCTTAAGATATTCTAGATATTAGGGTCTGCAAAATCAGTACTCAACCCAGACACCGGTAGTGCAGGTAAACAAAACATTCATTTATGAGTCAGTTCGAAAAACCCAAAATGACACACTCGTACAGCAATATCGAATGAATGAATGACTCATGATATTAGAGACACACACACCGGCTACTATGAGGAGCTGGCGCATAGGGCTCTCGAACGGGCTCTAATGCACCCCTACGTACCCTAAACCTCAAGCTCCGTTACGTATAGCCTTGAGTCCCAGCTGCTTAACGTTCTGGAGATCGAAAGTGATGTACCCCAGTATAGTCTCCCTGTGATAGCTCAGAATCACACAGCGACACAGAACATGCGCCGAGGTCTGTTCCTCTATCCCGCAGCGCTCACATAAGGGATCCTCACCTATCCCCATGAAGGTGGCGCCTCAACGTGTTATGGCCAGACAGCAGTTCCACCAGGTCGTTTTGCAGGAATGTCAAGGTGGGCAAAGTGGGAGACCTAGACAACGTCGAATGGTGCAAACTGAGGAATGAGTATTGAATCTTGTAGAAGAAAATCCTTCAACAAGCACTAGACAAGTGCAAGTCTCCAAGACTAAAGTATGGTAAACACTGTGATGAATGATTGTACAAGCCCTCCAAGCTGAGAATTATTCTGCAAGAGTGCGTTTTTGTGAATGGTTGTTGCAGTACATATCAGACGAATCAACCTTCACGCTTAACGGGATGAATAACTTTAAAAATACTCATGTGTGATCATTGAAAAATCCTCTCGAAGTCCATCAGTCACATTTTCAATAAACGGTTTCTTTGAATATTCGGTTTGGCATGGTAAGTGTTATGCTCACTGGACCTTTTATTCTCCCGAATCGGCTGGAGGGGTTATAATACCTAGACTTTTTACGAAACATTTTACAAAGAGCGACAACCAGACCGTTCTATTTGGAAAAATTTTCGAGGTGTAATTAAAGTTAATTGTCCAGTCACCAAATTACAAGCTTAAACTACACTAGCCAGTTTTAGACTGATGATGCGTTCAAGACATCAAATCAAATCAACCATATTTCCATGTGAATCGAAGAAAGATATATGTCGACTTCTACGATTTAAACAAGTGTCACATATAGCTAGCATATGAACTTGACCTTTACGCCGTGGCAGAAAATGATATTCTTTTGAACTTCATGTTGGAGTCTTCATTGCAAATACGGCTCAAATTATTCACAAACTATCTTCGCAAATACCGAATAATGGCTTACCTCCAGTTTTATTCCTTGAACAGATGGCGCATTTCTGCCAGTAGTACGCCTCGATCGTGATACTGCTTTTCCGGCACGAGGTGTCATTGCATCTACGCGATGCTCATCATCATTGTCATTACCATCACCAAAAAGCTCCGCTAAGAAATCCTTATCGAAACTTCCATACAGTCTGGCAAATTCCTCCGACTCTATGTCAGACGTTGCTTTTTGTAAAAATTCGTCCCTGTGATATCAATTAATAAGTGTTCATCTATAACCGGGCGGTAGAGGGTAATTTATGGATAGGTTTACAGGACATTAAGTCCTACTTTTTAGCATACGGGTGTATTTACTATGACGGTAGAGTAACAGTGTGATAGCTTAAAAATCGTCGTCAGACCAAATCATTTGTGTGTGTTGTGGGGGTCAGCCGGCGATGGGAGAGAAAGGGGGGTGATGGGTCCCCTTCTTCAAGCTTTGCACGTATCTTGTTAACCGTTATAGGCACGCCTTTATCCGAGAAAATATACAGGGTGTTCAAAACATATGGGCATATCTCGAAAAAAATACGTTTTCTAGAGAAAAATCTTGTAGAACAAAGTTGTGAGGTTTGAAAAGGTTCATCCATTGGTGTTCTTTAACGAAACCTTGACTAAAAGATTCAATGTCATTTAAAGGTCAATGCAGTTTTCTTAAATGAAACCCCTATTTTTGACACCAAAAGTATACAGATTCAGAAATTGTATATTATAGTACGCCTTAGCCCATGATCTTCATGAATATTTGATAGCATCCAGAAAGCAGAGAAAGGGCAAAATATCTCGTAATAAGTACAAAAAAAGTTCATTGCCAAAGTAACTATTGCAGTATCTTAAGTGTTGCATTTCTTTCTGTGAAACCAATCTAATTCACACTAATGCGAAATTAATTATCTATACTTTATAATACTTCCACGCGAGTGAAGTCGCATGTTTAGTCTAGTAGTTGATAAAAATAAAACAAGTACAGACTGCGAAAACCAAATATTCGCCAGTCTTGGCCTAAAAACAAGGTTGGAATCCCTTTAGACTAAACGACTGTCAAATACTCTTCAAGGTCTTGTAGAGCAAGGTTTTAACTTTAATCTAGATACTTGGATCAAATATTATAATTTTTAACCGAGTTTTTAAGCATTGATACACCTCCACGGTAAACCATCAAATCTGTTAAGACAACTTTTTTAAACAAAATACATTTTTTCCCAGACTTTTCTCGGGTTGTTCGGATCATTCTGAACTAAAAAGGTGTCCATTAACTTTTCTCTAAAGCTAACCATTTTCGAGTTACAGGCGATTTAATGTCCGAAATTCCTAAAAATATTCTATTCGATGTTTAAAATAGGTTAAAAATTTTAATTTTTGAGGTTGACAGGTATCTGAATTAAAGTTTAAACCTTGCTTAAAACGACCCCTCAGAGTATTTTGAAATTACTTTATTTTAAAGTGATTCAGGCCAAAATTGGCGAACTACCATTCAAATGTCAAAATCTATCAGGTCTTTTGGCCTGTAGCCCGTAAAATAACAATTTCTTTTTCACGCTCTAAGGCTCAAACAACCTTATGGATTTGACTCAAACTTCAAGTTTGAAATTTCTATAGCACAGGCTACAGGCCAAATGGCTTGATAGATTTTAATGCCCACATATTCGTCTTGATAGCTTAATCACAAATTTTTTTAGTTGCTGCAGTCGGTCTTTATATATTGTCTGAAAATGTACTTGTTTCATTTTTATCAAATAAAATACCATGTAGCTCCTAAAGTATTAATCTTCCAGTAAAAATTTATATGACATAATTGTTTATAAGTTTAATGTAAGTTATTAATATAGAATTACTTATAACGATAGTATTATAGTTTATGAGATACATGCATACGTCTGAAAATATAAACCTCCTAGAGTTGAGGACTTTTAATGTGTTTACCGGGTCACCTCAAGGGATAGCTCTTCCAATTTTCAAAAAAAAAACACGAATTATTTGGTCTGAATTCATTAATTTTGTCAGGATATAACTGTTATGCTTGCTAAATTTGAAAAGACCTGCGTTGAACACAATATGGCGACCACAAGAAGTGTCCTTGTTTATTTGTTGTTTAGCAATGGTACAACTGCAGCTGATACAACAGTACATCAGTTTATTTTGAACTTTACCTAAAAAATTACTCTAATTTTTATTTTATTTTGGCGGATCGTACATAAAAATCATGTATCTATGTATGTATATAATTTTGCTCATTATAGCCAGTGGGCTCTAATCTCATGTCACAGACCAAAAACGCCCTCTTTATATCGCATATTAGATATATAAATAACTATTATGTGGTGTGGAATGGTCCCATCCTCAGTCGTTCCTACACTTGTAGGACGCCTTTATGGCCTCCTTGATTTTCATAGTCTTTTCTCTCCTTCAGAAACGCTTGGGTATTTCTAGAGTTATACTGTTCCGTGTCAGCGTCAGCGCTCTCCTATTGTGAAGATGAGTTTTCTTTTTGAATTGCATGAAATTTCAGGCTAGTATAACAGATGATATAAATCAAAAGCATGTACAATTTGATGCAAATAGATATTTGTAACATAACCTCAAAATAGAGGGCTGACACAAAGTAGAAAACTATGAAAATCAAGGAGGCCACAAAAGGCGTCCTACAATTATTGTAGGGACGGGCGACGATACGACCCTTAGAATCCGCTTTAAATTGCATGCCCACTTGAAGAGGAGAAGCAAAGCGAAGAGAACCGGGGAGAACTTGGTCATTGTAGACGTCACAAGTGACATGTCGTGCTCGCGTGGTTGATAAACATATGTCCACTGAAATATAGTTACTTTACCGCCCCAGAGTGTAAAGTCCTGGGCTGAAAAGTAAATCCTTAAAGTATGTAGAACATGTTCTGCCAATTACAATTGGCTTGAAAATGTTGAATTCAGTTGACAAAACGAATTAACAAAAGTTTCGCTAAGATTGTGTCAAAGTCATAATTTGAAAACTCATTTTTTTAGAATTAATTACTGGGTTAAAATAGCTCCAGATTTTCGTATGACTTCAATAGTTCAACCATAAATTCAAATATCAAAAAAAATCAAAATTGAAAACCTGATCAACAAAAATGCGAGGCCTATTGCGGGCAGGGAGCAAATTGTTGCCATGATCAAACTAGCAGTCTGTGAAGATCATTTCAGTATGAGTAAGAGTACAAACCATAATATTTGATACCTGATATGAACATTTCCAGTTACAAATTTATATCTTTTTGAAGTTGGTTAATTGTAAAAATAACGTCAATTCACAGATTGATAGTTTCGAAATATTTACAACTTTCAGAAATTCGTTGCTAGCATATCCCTGAGGTACCAAAGAGCAATATTTCTTTTCGGGTATACTGAGTATGCTATTAAATACGTGATACACTTACAGCTGATTATAAATCTGCAGTGACTGCTGTGAGTCAGATCCTCTAATGAAATCGGGGATATTCAGACTACCAATACTTGAATTAGAGTTTGAATAGTCATATCGCTTCCTTTTGCTGCCTGGCGCGGACTTGTTCGGGATGTATCGGAAGGTTCTCGGATCCGATCGGGCACTGTCGCTTGGCCGGTACAGCTCCATATATACTTCAACCTGTTCTCTGATGTCTTGATCGATATATGGTGGGGTCCTGAGAAAAAAAATCATATGACATGCTAACAATACATAAATAAGTTAATACTAAAACAAAACTAAAAATGCAATGACTAATTTACACGGCTGCTATTCGGTGTGCCTGTGACATCCCCAGTTATCGCATGCCAGCAACTAACTATGTAAAATGTAGACACGTATTCAGAGTTCGTAAATATAGCTCTTAGGGACTTTCTAAGAATTACGTGAGCACTAATGGGGAGCGGGTGGTTTTAGCTTTGCCTATTTTTGATGGCTTGGTGGATGGGAGAATCTTGATAGTGATTACATCAACAATATTTATTTGTTTAGTCTTTCGGATTTTCTAAAAAATTTATTCGATTTTGATTTGACCATCCTGCTTGTCCATGCTCGGAAGAGAACCACATCTTTAATATAATGTAGTATAGAGCGCAGAATGGCTAATCCTAGTCGGGAAACTGGCTGGTCCGATACTGCCTCATGACCGTTTTGGATCTCACTTGGATTGACGTGGCGTTCCAATTAATGACAATTTGGAAAGATCCAATTTGCCAGTTTGCAAACTATTTTGAGTAAGACCAGCCAGATCTTCCTGATTTTCCAGACATCAGAACATGTGCGTGAAAGCCAATGCTTGCTTTAAATACTAAAATGTACCGATATCTTTACGTAAGCATGGGAGGAGGGGTAAGACTTGTTTACTTTTGCTGATAATTGTGAAAAATCTGCAAATGAATGAACGGCCCCTTACTGCCATGCAGCCTGCATTAAAAGATCGGCCAAATCGTCTATAATGGCTCTGTCACATATAGAATTTTTGTAATGTTCTATGTCATATTGTATTTTGCAGTAAATCGATACACTTGAAGAATGTAGTTACATGTTTTAAAATAAAACTTACTTAAAAGCAATAGCATATTGATGGTGTACATCCATGGGTGTAAATTTCCCAAGTTCTTGCCATATTGTCTTTCCATGGTCGTCAGTTTCGAAAAAACGTATTTGAATATTATCTGTAAATTTTCAAAAATATATGTAAGTGTATGCTTTGGTGGAGTATTAACGCGCGCTCTGCCAGACACTTATGCTAACAACTATATATGTGTCAAGAGTGTGTACTGTCTTCAGGTGCCACCATGGTCAACTCTAGACCTGTGACTTTTTTTAAAGGTTGATCTCTAAGAATAAAGAATTCAACTCAAAATGGAGTATGTTTTTCTTATTTACTAGTCTTAAGGATTACTATGATACGCGATCCTGACCACGTGGCTGTGACGATGGAACTGTATATGAACGTCAAAATACAGCATATGGTTGGACATTTTCGTTAATAGACTATTACAGGTAAATCATACTCACTTTTTTTCACTCTCTCAACAAAGATGAAGACTTCTTCACCTCCCTTCGCGTGGCTTACGATTTTGTCTAATCTGACAATTTTCAAATCGCCAGTTTCAGCGCTTTCTAAATAGGGAAAATGTGAATATGAGATTACTATGAGTAAAACACTGAGCATAGATTTATCCATGAATTTATTAAATACTTTCGAACTGAACTTTGTAAAAAATTATATTAAGAGGTAGACTTGTAGCTTCCAGAGCAATGACCAAATGTTAGTCTTGTTAATAAATATGATGAATGTTAAACATTTTATTTTTATCCTTCTTGTAGAAAGTGATGGAGATATTCAGGGAACTTGGAATGTTACTGTACTGTACTAAAACTATAAGAAAAAGTGAAGTATTACTTACTCAGGTTATTTATCCCTTGTGAATATACAGGATCACAAAGTGGGAATATTATCCCGTTGCGTCTAACAAACGCGTCAAACCTAAGACACACTATATTCAGATTAATAGATTTGCTCTCATCTTCAGCCAATCGCTTAATCTAAAATTCGTCAAACACAAAAAAAGACAAATAGAGGAAACAAAAAAGTGCTAAACACGTCTAGATATCCCCCGGCAGGAACACTTGTCCTCGACGTGGAGATATCCACACGGATTTAGAATATTTTCTTTAATATTCTAGGTGTGAGCTAAGTTTGGTATCTGTCTGCAGTTCATACCTTCCAAGTCTGGTCCAGGTGAACATCTCTCGATTGTCATGTTTACCCTACTGAAACAAAATAATGCATTTGCTCTTTACAGACTGAATAATTTATCATTTCAACAATAAATATAATCAGTTATTTTCAACAATGAATTTCTGACTATCAGACTGTCAAATACATTCATCCAAACAAATGAATATCATGTTACCTAGCTACCAAAAATTCACTAATGGAACGAACAAATTAACAATGCATACATTCCAGATGAAATTAATGGTTTGAAGAAGCTATATGGTATTTCATGCTTCTTCAATGTAGATGTCTTGATTGGTTTGTCTGTTATCTGGTCTGCTGTTAAAAATCAGGTGACGATAGTGTACTAATCAGATGTACTTAAAATAACATTTGATCTGTTTTTACTTTCCTATCGTCCAGGAAGAATCAGAGTCGTGAAAAAAATCAAAAATGAGATATTATGTTTTTGGATGTTATATGATATGTACATTAAGAAAAACCATGTTACGCCCACCACTCACGAACCAACGCCGCAGTGCGATTTTGTCGAATGCGACAAAATCGAACGCAATTTCATCGTGTATTTTTATTATCCAATCAAGTCGGTATGATTTGACCGAAGACAAACAAGTCAGTCTGCAGTAGTACAACACTCTGCGATTCCATTGTATGATTTAGGTTCGGCAAACAGCAACACACACGTAAAAACAACCCAAATTTGGCACATTTTAATAATAATTCTCTGTCTACGCATATTTGTAGAAATGGCTTACAATGAGAATTTTTTGAATTATATAAAGAGCAAGAATGCCTTTGGATAATAGAATCGCCGTATGCCGTTTAAGAAACCAATTTTTACGCCACCATCTACGTTTCTGATTTTTCTTTTTACTTTTAGTAATACAAAATGCAAGATCCGCTAAAACTAGATTTTAGACATGTGTTTCCTTATCCAATTTTCGACAAAGTCGTACAGCAATCGCATTCGACAAAGTGTGGCGGGCTTTACTCATTTCTGTTGGTCTGTCTGTCCACTAATCCCAGGCTCGCCTATAATTTGGAAAGTACTGCTCGGATTTGGATGAAATTTTCACAAAAGGTTACTATTATGCCAAGGACTGGAAAGCTTGAGTGTTTGGAAATGAGTCCAGTAACTGTGGAGAAAAAGGTAAAAAATGAGAAGAAAATGCTTGAGAAAAAGACAAAAGTTGATGCTTATCACACTGGTAGATTTTATTGGATCGCCAACTGAAGGGGATTTTTTTATCTGCCCTTTTGTGAATTGTAAATCTAAACATACGAGGAGATACCCAAAAATAACCGGAATAGCACTGTAGTGGGCGGAGCTTGTGTAGTACACATTTCTTCCCCTAGAGGCGTACAGCGTAACTCATTACCAGTTCAGTGCCACCTGAGTTGTCGATCTGGCTTGTTTCGTTCCTCTGTAGTCATTATTTCTGCTAGAGCTGTTTCGTACTTGTTTCGTTTTTTACGATGGCAAGCTTAAGCGAGCAACGTGCAGCTGTGAAATGTTGCTTTCTAGTTGGTAAAAATGCTGCTGAAACTGTTTTAACGTTGAAAATAACTTACAAAGATGATGCTATGGGAAAAAGTCAGGTGTACGAGTGCAGGATTTAAAAATGGCGACATGTCGAGTGATGACAAACCTCGCTCTGGACGTCCATAAACTGGCAGTCAGGAGACTGGTTCTTCCACCACGATAATGCACCTGCCCACACAGCCATCTCTGTTCGACAATTTCTGGCTAAAAATTGAATGGATCCACTGCATCACGCACCTTATTCGCCTGACCTGGCTCCATGCGACTTTTTTTTATTTCCACGGATGAAAAGGGGCATGAAAGGACGCCGCTTTGGCGACATTGAAGAGGTCAAGAAAAAAACATGGGAGGAGCTGTCAGTCATTTCTAAGGAAGACTTTAAAAAATGTTTCGAGCAATGGAAGCATTGGTGGGACAAGTGTATTAGTTGTAGTGGACAGTATTTTGAAGGACATAAGGTTACTTTGTGTTTAATACAATTAGTATATTCTTAGGGTGTATTATAACAATTAGGTCAGATAATCACTCAAGACATTTCCTTATAAATATATTGTATAATTTATAGAAAATGCCTGTAGCATATAAGAACTGTAATGGTAAATGGCCAATAAATGATGGAAACAAGCCATAGTAAAATAATGTGTATGGCCACTAATTTAAACAAAAGTGAAAATATCTGAATTCCTTGGAAAAATCATACGTCTTTGAAATATACTCACATCTTGAACTCTAGACTTGATAATTCACTAACACTAATTACAAATTAAAGCTTTTTATCAGACACTGATTACTGATAGAAATAATGCAGAATCAGCAAATCTCACACCAAGTACCACACAAATGCATCAAAACACAACTCCTATTTGCTAAGCCTAGGCATAGATAATATGAACAAAACAAACTAACCAACAAGAAATAATAAATAATCAGAACTTCAGATTGATAGACTCGTAAATCAAATCCGAAAAAGGCATAAAAACACCACAAAACAAAATAAATAAATTAGTCATAATATAAACATATGTTTAGCCTTCAAATTGACGGAAAACACAGGACACCAAAAATTACACAGTACAGCACTACGAATGACACGTAACAAGCGGCGCCGCAATTCAAATGCTCAGTAGCGTAACATGATGGGGGAAAAAGCTACCTAGCTTAACTATAATCCAGAACCATCCAAATAAAAGCAGCTATGAATGGTTGTACATTATGACAGAGAGATCTTCATAAAGTGATTGTATAAAAACAAAATCCTAACAGTTCGTTTCTAAATACAGGCATTACATGCTAACAATTGTTAAAAGTGTCTACATGATTTTGTGGCAAATTGTATAAGTATGCAAGGCTGTTTCAGTACAATATAAGTAACAGCATTTTATTTAAAAATATCCTACCTAATACTATATTGGCGTGACCAAAAAATTATCAGCTATAAAATAATAGAATTTGTCCCATTAGAGCATAACTGTACCAGGTCAAAAATAGCAATTGGCGCAGATAAAACAGTTTGCGCAATAGGGATAGAAGCGTAGGACGTAGACTAAATTTTTAGTCGGTCGTTTTCGATATTCTCCGTCAGCGTAGACACGGGATACTTCTGCAGCGCGCGAGACGACCTTCAATTACGCCATATAGAATATAAAAGCAAAGGCCAGGGTGGCAACAATAATTAGGGCGGGCACAATGGGTTATAAACGATATTTCTCTAAAAGGAACAGCGGATATCTAACTTCTTTTCTACTCGACAACCGGACAAGTTGATGTGCGTCGGCGACCCGCTGAATTTGGCCTGCCTAGTGTTTTGAGTTTTTATTTATAAGATGCAAATTTTCTTTTCTTTCGTCTTTTCATATTGTTATATCTGAGTGCTGGTACACCTACTGTAAACTATGCCGATTTTAGTTTATTGTATTGTAGCAATCCTTGGATAGCATGTTTGATGTAGAGCTGGGTTCCATTTTGAAACGGTAATGGTCTCCTTGGTACAGAATCAATCAGTCTTAATAATGAATCATGTTCCATTGTGTACTTGTCATGATCCATTGTGTACAGTGTAGAAAGAGATAGCTTTATCAAACAATGTAAGACAGTTTTTTTTTTGACCCTTGAGTATGATATTGTCGAAGACCAAGAACATCCCGCGCCGTACGAACATCGTGCTTGGGGCCTCAGAAATGTTAGATCAGGCATTATACAGCAATGACAAGTGGTCGCTCCACACTAGTTTTTTAATGAACAAGTTTGCAATTTTTTTATTAGCTCAAATGAAAGTTTAGAAAAATTGAAAACAAGATGGTGAAAAAATTATTAATTCATCTCTAAAAACAAAAAAGTTACAGCCTATCAAACTTGCGCCCGCGAGAATATTTTTATTCCGTCTGTACGCTACGCGTGACGTCACACTTCAGTATCCAGTTGCAACGCCCGCGGCCGATTCCTGGGCCCGAGACGACTCAATCTCCTAAACACATGCATAGACACACATACAGAGGGACACATGGTAGGCTAAACGTCTTCCGCCCCAATTTGTTTAATTAGTTGACTGCATATACGATCGGTTATGAGCGAAATAAAAAAGAAAGGTTGTTATAAATACTGTACCGTTCCAAAATGTACGAGCACAACAATTATAACCCCTAATAAACATTTTTTTTACGTACCTTCACATGGAAATATAAGGAAGAAATGGTGCAAAATTATGAAGCGTGATTTGATTGAACCAAAAAGAACATACAGTAATGGACAAAAGTATATACACAAATTATATTGTGCTGTATTTCTTTTTTAACTTGTTTTATTAATACACCAACCTACATAATTCCTTATAGCATAATACTCACTTATACATAAATAAATTCATTAGACTCCCGGCAATAAAAAATTAATTGAAAAAAACTGGAACTATGAAGGACAAAAATATATAGACAAAGCAAAACAATTATAGAAAAAAGAAGCAAAGTTCACTGAATTATAGAAAACCAACCATGTTTGTGTGTCTTATGAATTGTCTATAGACTAATGACTAAACACACAGACGCTATCGAACACCTACGCGACGAGACGCTGGCCACTAAAGAAGTGTGATGTCAGACGCAAACGAACGACAGCAATAATTTCGCGCTATAATGCGCCAAATTTATGTATCAATTTCTCTGTGATTTATTGGCCGATTTAAAGAGTTTTTTCACTGGCTAATTATATTTAGTGTATATTTTGCTGGTATGTTACTATTTATGCGATTCTGAATATCACGAAACATTTCCATTATTAATAATAATAATCCTTTCACATGGCATGCTTTGGATCATATCACTAGATAAAAATAATGTGTACAAGTTTTCTCATGTACTATTACTTTTTGAGTCTGAAGTTAGTAGAAAACACCTGCTTCACACATACACGGAAGTGTGTATGAAGTAAAACCTGAATAAAAACCTTGTGCATAACTAGAACAATACAGGGTGTTTCAAGTTCGATCCTCATCATTGGGATCTCGGAAACTGTAAGTCGCTTGAATGGGGGCAAAGTTGCGTATTTAGGTACTCAACAAAATACCGCTCAGAAAGTTTCGAAACTCAAAGTACTTCTGGAGGGGGACGGAAAATTTTCCCAAAATCATTTCAATTTTTTCAAAATAAATTGCACATTAACATTGCCACCTTTCTACTCTACAAGATGGCATAATTTGAATTTCAATATGACGTTTTGTCAGTTGTCCTCCAGCATCAACTTTATTTTTTCTTGTGGACGACATATTGGATTTTTGCGCAGATGAATAGTTTTTAATTCTGATTTCAAAAAACCATAGTTATTTCAGAAAAAGCACAATTTCGTACGTAGGCCTTGAAATTAACAGATTTAATTTATTTCATATTCCATACCAGACCTCGAATTGAACATAGCAACCGAGTTTGGAAGACAGAAGAAGAGAAATAAATCTAGCAGTGAACAATGTACAGAGAAGAGTCAGGCTTTACCTACACAATATCGGACATTTTGAACATCTGCTATGATTTATCTCTGCTTATATATGATTAATGTTGTCATTACCATCAATAAAATGTTCATGTTGTGTTCAGGTTTTACCATACCTTTTTATTTCCTTATAATTTTCATGCAACAACAAATTCATTGCCAGCTAACAAAATACGTCACTGAATTTAGGTTCATTTAAATGTACAAAATTTTAAATTTCTATACAACATCCATATGAAAAAACAAAGGTGGTGATGAAAGTCGAAAAAAAAAATGTCGAATTGAAAATTTGCGTACACCATCTTGTAGATGAGAATAAGGGCCGTATCGTCAGTCGCTCCTACAATTGTAGGACGCCTTTAAGATCTCCTTCATTTTCATGGTCTTTCCTCTCCAAAAAGACTGGGATATTTCTAGATTTCTACTGTTCCATGTCAGCGTCAGCGCTCTCCTATTATCAGGCTATGGTTTCTTCTTAAATTGTAGGAAATAACAGGCCATATAACAGATGATATAAATCAAAAGCGTGAACAATTTAATGCAAGTAGATATTTGTAACATAACCTCAAAATAGAGCGCTGCATGTAAGAGTAGAAAACTATGAAAACCAAGGAGACCATAAAGGTGTCCTACAATTAAAGGAACGACTGACAGACGATACGGCCCTACATAACAATGACAACATGCAATTTATTTTGAAATCTCATCTCAAATAATGTCAGAAAAAAAAAAGAATGATTTTGGCATAAATCTGGAATGCGAAATAATAATGGCAATCTGAACTACCTAGGAAATTCTGGTTTTCTAATTAAATCAAAGTCTGACGTATTTATACATTTTTGGAATCAGAATTAAAAAATCTATTCATCTCTGCAAAAATTCAATATGGCGTCTATAAGAAAAACTAAATTGATGCTGCAGGACAAGGGACGAAACGTCATATTGAAATTCTAATTACGCCATCCTGTAGAGGAGAAAAAGTGGCAATATTAATGTGCAAATTATTTCATAATCCCACTACAAATAAAGTCAGAATAAAATTAAAACGATTTTGGAAAAATTCGAATTTTTCCATCTCCGGAAGTACTTTGAACTTGAAACTTCCTAAGCGGCTTTTTGTTGATTAGCTAAATTCGCAACTTTGCCGCCATTTGAGCGACTTCGTAGCTCTTACAGTTTCCGAGATGCCAATGGTGAGGTCGAATTTGAAACACCCGGTATGTCTGTAGTAGCAAAACCTATATATAATTGCAGAAAATTCGATGCGGTTTTGTAGTCATTAACATATTAGTATCCTTTTTTATACTTGACCTGCCACACAGGCCTGAAGGGTTTACCCAAATATGTAATTAAAAGTAAGGATATCTATAAATAATAACCTTGAATCCAACTCAGAAATGGAACACCTTCTATAATTGTGAACATGTTTTAAATCTATCTATTCCCACATGGATGGTTACAGGAAAACCTTGTATAACTTACACAGAAAGTCATACGAGGTTTCATGTGTGGGCACCTAGGATAAGATTGAAGTGCCCAATCACTTAGCTCACACCATAATATTATATACAGATTATATGTATAGTAACAATTATCTAATTTTACACACAATCGTCACTACTCACCTGCAAAATTTCTTCATTGTTCAACTCTCTTTCTATTCCTTCTTCATAAGCAACACTTTCTTTCTTCAGTTTCGACTTCTTTTTTATTAACTCCCCAACAATATTCTTCTTTGCTGTATGAATAATACCCATACCAGCAAATCTAAAAACACAAAATGCATAACTGCAATCAACTGAGTCAGGATCGAAAATTGTGTAATGAATCTTGCATCTCAAATGCGCAGGTGTGTTACTTCGCCACCTCAAAGTCAAACTCTTCTGTCTTATATTATTTCCTCACAAGATAAACAACATGGTTCCCTTTAGAGGTCCAAGTACCAATTCTCTGATTTCAGATCTATAAACGATGTGCATGCAGCATTTTAGTCGAAGATTGCATAACAATTAATTGATGTATTTCGCGACGTTGGACGAGGAGACGTGTCTGATGCATTAAAAAACGACACATATAACATCATGCTAGTTTGTTGCTGCGCTGGACGTCTTTTTAGGAACGGGAATGCCTAGGGTGAATTTGCCAGTAACAACGACGCTACCAGTAGCCGGACAAATGTTATATTATTGGT